ACAATACTCATAATTCTACAACTACAGACAAGATTTTTCAAGTGTCAGTAGTGGGCTGTTCATGAATGAAGTCTATAATGAGTGAATCATCTATATTATGGTTTGATACATTAAATCCTGAAATTAAATTTTTTTATTTTTTTTTTTATACCAGTTCTGTATCTTAGGCTACATTCACACTGCAGGCCTTGATGCTCATTCCGATTTTTTTGTGAAAACCAATTTTTTTTTTAATTGCTGTTCACATTTCCAAATATATGCGACTTGTATGTGATCTCCTGTGTAAACTGCATTCTTACAGCTTAAGTGTCCTGCATGTGCAGTAGAGGATGCAATGACATCACAAGCAAGCGTGCTCTGTGTTCACGGGAGTAAACATGGATGGCAGTGCTGGAGCGTATCTAGCGATTTTTCCCGACCTTAAAAACTCAATCTTTTCAAGATGGTTAAAAAAAAGACTGCTCCCCGCATTATCGTCTGACATTGTTGTGTTTTTTCTTCCCGCTTCTGCATAGCAGAATAGTGACCTTTGAGTATTAATGAAGTTCAGGGTAGCTGAATGTGACCTGGCCATTCAGACATGGGTCGCATTTGAAGATCATTATTTGAAGATTTGAAGATTATTCAAATGATCAGATAGGTATCGGATTCAGGACCACATAGCCAAGTGGCCTTTGTCACATTGGAAAAAATCAGATCTGTGTTGTTTAGACCGCCTTGAAAAGATCAGATAGCCTACAGGTCACATACGGGCAAAACAAAATCGGATTTGGGTCACTTCAGGCTGCAGTATGAGCGTAGCCTAAAACATGTCTTTTTCATCTCTTTTTCATCTCTTTCAAACACAATGGTTAAAAAAATTTTCTTTCGCTGCTTCAGATCCATTCCTGAAATTTCAGGTAAAGGAAAATAAGCTCATTGCTCATTAACAAAAAGTTTAAGAGGCACCACTAATAATAATGTGTTTTTTATGCCTCCTTATGAGAATATTCCTTTTCAGGCCTATTCAAGTTAAACAAATGTCAGTGCCTAGTTTGAACAACAGAGAGGTTTATTAAAATACCTTCTGCAACTATTATCCTATTTCTTCAAATAATGCTAATAATGCTTTTTCTTCATCATTTACAAGTAGGATGTGATGACCCTACAGTGCAGCTAACTACAGCTGGAATACTGGTAATCTGTTTGTATATATACATATAGTATTTAAAGGAATTGTAACATTAAATGTAATTTGGGCATTTGGAGAAGCACTCTGTGAAACATTGTACAATCTCAGTTGAAAATGACATCAGGAAACTACTCAAAAAGGGTTTTAATAAATGCCTCTTTCTTTTCACAGGATAACAAGTAAACACCCGAGCCTCAGCCCAGTGAACTAAGCAAGATTGAGTGAAAATCAAAGAAAATTAAAATAACGTTCTTTTTGTTTGATTTCCTGTCAATTGTTTTAAAGTATAAACACTGCTTTGCCCTGCTTTGTTTTAAAGTATAAACACTACGTGAAGATGGGGAAATTATTTTACCTTGATATACTCAAAGGCACTAAAATTCACCACCTACCTGTAAAGAAGGAAAAAACAAAACAAAAACAGAACTACTATACAGATATGGAAATTAACTAAAAAGGGAAATGAAATGAAAAGACTGTTTGCATTCCTGAAAAGCTTAGTGCCATTTGAATCTAGTCTTGGTCAAGGAAGTAATTAATTTTAATCATTTACAATGATTAAACTGGTTGTGTGTTTGTGGGTTGTATCTTTGAGTTATTCTGTTGCTCTCTCTGGTTTTCCCGCAAATGCAGAACATTACACCTAACTTGGTTTAGTCAGATGCTCATTTTTTCTCTCTGTAAGATTATGATTACAGTTTAGGTCTATTTTAATTATAATGGAAAGATTGTTATTTCTCATCTTCTTGGGTAGGTACAATTTTCTACTTGCTTTCAAAACTAATGTTGTTTTTTTACTGATAAGAAACAAGAATTAACTTCAAATTTGGTTTGGTCTCACTGTCTGTATGCTTAAGTGTTCTGTTTATGCTGATGCTGAGAAAAAAATGCTGTTTGAAATAAAAATGATTTACACTGATAGGTGTTTTTTTACTATGATTTTGAAATTCCACAATTTTTAATAACTTTACAGATTATGTTTTCACTGTGTGTAAATAAGTAATATTGAAAAATTGCTTTTATTATTCAACCAGGTCCTTTTTATGCAACCCAAGTACAAGGTCAGTGTCTGTTGATTCTCATGTTAGCTGTGTTATGAATGTAATTTAATACCTTCTACTGCAATGACCGAATACCTTAAAAAAGGTTCAGTAAAGATATATTTCCATTAATAAACTGATGAGTAAAATAACTTATCATCAAATATTACAATTTGGATGAAGTAATTACATGTTTTCCTCTGTCTATATTTCAGCCCTTCCTCAGGCTAAACTAACAGTCAATTCATCAAGAATCAAAGACACAGATAAAGTCACCTTAAGCTGTCAGGCTCCAAAACATGTTTCTGTTCATCATTGTCGTTTTTATGTAAACGGAGGAACTCAGAGATCTTTCCCCTGCAAAAACACATTAACAGGAACTGAGCTGCTGTTCCTGTCTAAGCAAAGTTCCCCCTCTGTGGTTGCTGTCAGATGTTATTACACTGTAATATATGGAGCCTTAGACTCTCCATCTCCCCACAGTAATATATTACACATCATTATTGGTAAGTGACTTTTTCTTTCTTAGATATTTTAATATTTAGTTTTGTTTCTTAGAAATTGTCAAAATAAAAAAAAAAAGTTAAGAGATCTGATTTTATAGTTTGCATCTGTGTTTAACAAGTTTTTTCTTTCACTGCTTCAACATAATGTTTTACTATGCCTTCTTGCACTAATCATTTCTTATCTAGATGTAAAACCGCAACTGGCTGTAAATTATTATAAGGGTCATTATGCTATCTTCACCTGCTCTCTGGCTGGCTCTGTGAAACATGACTCAACATGTAACCTGTACTTTGGAGAATCAAGTCATCCAGTCAAAACAAAGACTGTAACGAAGAACTCAAGAACAAATCAATGGTCCTGCCAGACTGAGATTCCAGAAGATGAATTACTGAGTTACCTACATGTAGTTCAACAGAAAGAGGTCAGCTGTGATTACGTTTTGGAGAATGATGAAACATTTTTAACTGCTCGTAGTGATCCATACAGTTTCGCTGGTGAGTTGATTTAAATAAATGTTTTACTAATTTCAGTGTCTTTCAGAAGAAACAGGAAAAAATATGATTTTTTTTTTATTATTACTTTTGAGACCTAATTTTATATGTTTACTTGTTTTTTTTTTATTATTTAAACTTGATGCGGGATTAATAAAAACATATAAATAAATATATCTAAAAGTAGTCCTGTAAAGCTAACAAGGCCTCTTCTAAAGGTTTGACATCTATTTAAAATCCACCTAATTCTTAAGTATGTGCTAAATTACCTTGCAAAGTTAAATAAATTGTTTAATGTTGCAGTTTAGAAAAAAATAGAATAAGGTCTGTTTTTTAAAACTATTGTTTAAGATACAGTTGAAGCTTTTTATATAATAAATGTATCACATAAGTTTTTCCACTAAGAATTTTAATTCAATTTCCCCCAAATAATCAATCAAGCTGACAACTTTCAGAGCCACAGTCATGACATGAAAAATATGCAGAGAATATCAGCAGTGACCCAGAACATTGTGACAAACCGTTTTATTGTATTTAGGTATGACTGAGTCAACAATTGGTATGACCAGTGCTCTCACAACTACCAAATCAGGTAGGAAAATGTACTAACATGCAAACTTTGATGTTTTAACTTTAATTTGAAGGATTATATGACATATAGAATGGCTTTGGGAGGCATTTTTTTTGCACTGCAATGTAATGTGCATGCATAAAGACCCTGGGCCGGGAATCAAACCCAGAACCTTCTTACTGCAAGTCAGCAGTGCTACCCACTGCGTCACTGAGCCGCCCGATATTAAGATCACTATTGGGAAAAGTAATTTAGATTAATCGCCTGGATTAAATGTTTTTTTTTTCTTGGTGTTTATTTAAAACAAATATCTGAATAAAACTGTCTGTTTTTTTTCTTGCTAAAATTCTACCAAATATTTGATGAAGAATAATTTTGTGTAAGTAAGTAAATATATTACAAACATTGAGGCAATCTATTAAAAATTAACTGGAAAATCCTGTTTAAATGTAACAGCAACCTCACTCATGGTATGGTGGTGCTAGTTTCACATATTGCCAGCTAGTCAGCCAATGGGGTCATATTGTCAAAATCTGGGCTCATACTTTCTTATTAGAGGTAAATTGTTCTTTATTAAGTAATTTAAATTAAGCTCAATCCATAGACAAATGGTTGATTTTAATCCAAAAGTCTTAGTTAAATGTGATTTACACCAACTCAACACATTTCAAATGGCAGAAATTAAACAAACTAATGAGCTTTAACTACTGAGTCTAACTAATTACTTTCAATATTCAGGTTTACAGTGAATTTAGAATAAAGCAAGTAAACATTTATTTGTGTGAGATTTGTCACAATCACGCTTTCATACTCATTCTTATCTTAAATAAATAGCACCAACTTTCAGCTTATGGTCAACTGGTTGTGGCTGGTTTAAATATTGCATGTCGATTAAATCCAAAAGTCTCCCATTGGTTAAAATGTTTTCAACCTGTTCACCTTACTGATAAAATATAATCAAATTATGCTAAGTATATTTCAGCTATTAATACAAAAATAAGTAAAGTCCTATTGATAAATAAATAAAGGTTTTGTAAATGAATCTAACAATATGCAAAACTTGTCATAATCTGCCCTGTTAGCTGAGCCGAATATAAAGCAGAACGTGCAGGTGGATGAGATCAGTGATAATTAAAGACCAGGCAGAGTTAGACAGGTGAATGAAATGAACCCTTAAGACCAGCTAACAGGGCAGATCATGACAAAACTACACAGCATTTTTTAATTTATAGGCAATAAGTATTTTGTACATATTAATTTAGCCCAGAGCTACACAATGACACAGTGGGTAGCACTGCTGCCTTATAGCAAGAAAGTTCCAGGTTTGATTCCCAGACTTGGGTCTTTCTGCATGGAATTTGGATGATTTCCCTGTGTATTCATCTCTCCGGGAACCCCGCTCCCCCCAATAGCCCAAAAATATGACTGTTAGGTTAACTGGCTTCTGTAAATTCTCCTTAGGTGTTACTGTGTGTGTGTGAATGGTTGTTTTTCCCGTTTGTTTCCGTTTTGCCCTGTGATAGCCTAGTGACCTGTCCAGGGTGTACCCCGCCTCTTGCCCTTAGACTGCTGGAAAAAAGCACCAGCACCCCTTGCCACCCCAGCTGGGATAAGTGTGTCAGAAAATGGATGGGATGAGAATTTATCCCAGTCACACTTTTTACAGTGCAAAAACAAAAACTAGCCCATACAACATAATGCTTCTACCTCACACCTTTTCAGGCATGCAGGCTTCCCTCTATTGTCAATGAGGACATATCACTGCAAAAGTAGGGGTCTCTATCCCTAAGTACTTTTTAAACAAACTATTATCTACTTTAAAGTTGGATTTATAGTTATGGCTCCTCCCACCTCGAGTTGCATATCAGTTCATATTAGTAAACAACATGGTTTACTGTGAATATTGAAACTTGCTTTTGTTATCACCTTCAAAGCTTCTTGCTTTTGTTTGGAAAATAATGCACTTTTTCCTCTGTCCTCTCTGGAGCACCAAACTTTCTTCCTGAATCCTATGATGTATACAAAGTCGAACATGACAAACATTTGATAAACTTACCTGACAACAGGAAAGCTTAGTCTGCTTGATTGTCAGAAAGTAATAACCTTATAAGATCTTTAATCTTATAAGATCTTTTTTGTTAAGACATTTAAAAAAAACTAAGAAAAAAAAAAGATTTTTCATTCCAGCATTAAACCGACAATATCTGGTATAATTTCTGTTTTAGTGACTCCTTATGTATCTTCTATTCGTGGAGGGGGGAAAGGCAAAAAAGAAGATCTCAACTCTAAAGACAAAAATAAAGGTGACATACAGTAATTATTTTGATGTCAATATTAAATGTTTCTTTTATTTCTTCTTAATTAATATACATAGCAACAAATCACAACACATTTCATCTTAAGGCAGTTTAAAGAATAATTTTAATTAGGGCACACTGTGAGGTTGGTTAAATGTATTCTATCTTAAGAAAACCAGCTGATTGCAGCCAGCATCTGGCTATTTAAAAAAATAAGTGAACAATGTTCACTTATTTTTTTAAATAGCTTTTTTGTAGTGCGTATACTGCAGCAAGTTCTTGAGACTGTTCTAAGGTTTATTATACTCTGGTTTCTGAAAACGTCCTTTCAAACTGATTTATTAATTTACAGGCATACAGTATTTCTGTATGAAATTTAAGCTTTGCTTGTTTTGTTTTTATTTAAGACTGACCCATTAGATTTTCAGACTTTAAAACAGTTATAAGGGTGAGATATCCAAATCAAAGTTATTTATGACCTCTCCAACAGAAATGTGGAAACTGATTATAGCAGCAACTGCCAGTGGACTGACTGTTCTTGCCATTCTGATGATAGCAGCATGTTTCCGAGCCAAAAGAAAGACAGGTGAGAAAATTTAGAACATTTTTTATAAGCAACATTCTGCCAAAATAGTATCTTAATTCATTATTGTATCATATGAAATCAAACCGCTTACAGCTGAACTGTTTCAGGTGGGATGTATTTGATCAGAGTTTAACAATAGTAGGATGTTACCAGTCTGCAGAAGTAATTTTAAAGTATCAAAGAACTGCAATGAGAGCAGATGCATTTATATTTACATTAAAGCTTTTAAGGAACTGTTATTGGACTCAAGCTTTTAAGTTGTTTATTAAGTGAATTTTGCACCGTAAAAAGAGGTTGTTAGTTTTAAAGTTTAAAAAAAAAAAGCTGCAGCTGCAGCTGATTCAGAACGCCGCTGCTCGAGTCCTCACTAAGACCAAGAGACTGGATCACATCACTCCAGTTCTGAAGTCCTTACACTGGCTTCCTGTGTCTCAAAAAATT